CAGGAGATGCACGGCATTTCCTGTCTCATTCTGTGCTCATGACCGGGCTACTTGGCCCACACAGACAGTACAGGGCTGGGAAATGACCACCCTGGCCAGCAGCCACCCCAGCTGTCTCCTAGGCCTGTGGTGAACCATTTGGTATCTGTGCTCCAAGTTCTCTTCCCTTCATTTTTGTTCAGTTGCTAAGTCATGTCCAAATCTTTGTGACCCCATTGCAGCACACCAGGCTTCCCTGTCCTTCGCTATCTCCCAGAGTTTGCTCAAACTCACATCCATTGAGTTGATGATGTCATCCAAACATCTCATCCTCTGCCACCCCCTTCTCCTGCCCTCAATTTTTTCCACCATCAGGGTCTTTTCCAATGTGTTGGCTCTTCGTCAGGTGGCCAAAGTATTGGAGCTACAGCATCAGTCCTTCCAATGTATATTTAGAGTTGATTTCATTTAGCATTGACTGGTTTGATCTCCTTGCTGTCCAAGGGACTCTCAAGAGTCTTCTCCAGCACCTCAGTTTGAAGGCATCCGTTCTTAGGCACTCAACCTACTTTATGATTCAACTCTCACAGCTGTACATGACTACTGGAAAAACCATAGCTTTGTCTATACAAACCTTTGTCAGCAAAGTGATGTCTCTGCTTTTCAATATGCTGTCTAGGTTTGTCACAGCTTTTCTTCCAAGGAGCAAGCATTCTTTTAATTTTGCTTCAGATTAACTTCTGCAAATGGTTATCCGTAGCACCTTTCCTTATGGGACAGGCATGAGGATTAAATGATAATCTGCATATAGTATTAAATCCAGATTCTAGAATAAAATGTGTTAAGTTGCTTCAGTCATGTCTGACTCTGTTTGACACTATGGACTGTAGCCTGCCAAGCTTCTCTGTCCATGGGGTGCTTCTCTAGGCAAGAATACTGGAGTGGATTGCCATGCCCTTCTGGAGATCTTCCTGACCCAGGAATCGAAGCAGCGTGTCCTACATCTAACCTGCACTGGCAGGCAGGTTCTTTACCACTAGCACCACCTTTAGAATAAAATAGTGCTTAATAAACACTAGTTACCATTGATGGTAATAGCATCTTCTTCTGACTTTCAGGGTAGTGAAATATTAATGCCTAATGTCACAAAAAATGCTATATTTACAAGTCACTGGCAATGTCCTGAAAGATTTTATGCTGTAACTGTGATGCTTGGAAAACTCTTAAGCAGTCAGAATCTTTCACTTAATAACAATCTGTTCAATACACACTATCTTAAACACATTTGACTGTGTGGATCACAATAAACTTTGGAAAATTCTGAAGGAGATGGGAGTACCAGACCACCTGACCTGCCTCTTGAGAAACCTGTATGCAGGTCAGGAAGCAACAGTTAGAACTGGACATGGAACAACAGACTGGTTCCAAATAGGAAAAGGAGTACGTCAAGGCTGTATATTGTCACCCTGCTTATTTAACTTATATGCAGAGTACATCATGAGAAATGCTGGGCTGGATGAAGCACAAGCTGGAATCAAGATTGCTGGGAGAAATATCAATAACCTCAGATATGCAGATGACACCACCCTTATGGCAGAAAGTGAAGAAGAACTAAAGAGCCTCTTGATGAAAGTGAAAGAGGAGAGTGAAAAAGTTGGCTTAAAGCTCAACATTCAGAAAACTAAGATCATGGCATCTGGTCCCATCACTTCATGGCAAATAGATGGGGAAACAGTGGAAACAGTGACAGACTTTATTTTTTTGGGCTCCAAAATCACTGCAGATGGTGACTGCAGCCATGAAATTAAAATACGCCTGCTCCTTGGAAGGAAAGTTTTGACCAACCTAGACACCATATTAAAAAGCAGAGACATTACTTTGCCAACAAAGGTCCATCTAGTCAAAGCTATGGTTTTTCCAGTAGTCGTGTATGGATGTGAGAGTTGAACTATAAAGAAAGCTGAGTTCCGAAGAATTGATGCTTTGAACTGTGGTGTTGGAGAAGACTCTTGAAAGTCCCTTGGACTGCAAGGAGATCCAACCAGTCCATCCTAAAGGATATCAGTCCTGGGTGTTCATAGGAAGGACTGATGCTGAAGCTGAAACTCCAGTGCCTTGGCCACCTGATGTGAAGAGCTGACTCATTGCAAAAGACCCTGATGCTGGGAAAGATTGAAGGCAGGAGGAGAAGAGGACTACAGAGAATGAGATGGTTGGATGGCATCACTGACTCAATGGACATGGGTTTGGGTGGGCTCTGGAAGTTGGTGATGCACAGGGAAGCCTGGCACGCTGCGGTTCATGGGGTCGCAAAGAGTCGGACATGACTGAGCAACTGAACTGAACTGATAAACACATTTTCAGTATAGTGGGATCACAAAAAAAGAGATGGCTTTTGCCTTTGAGCACTTCATGATGTGGTAAGCATTAGCAATAGCTCCATTTTTAAATAGGGTATAGTTAACCTAAGTTTTTGGAATAATTAGTTTTTTCAGCCATCTGCACATATATTCTAACACAGACAAAAAAACCCAATTCTAAAATATATCAAAGTTGTTTTTATTTTAGCTTTCTGCTTCTTGGTCTCAAATGTTGATTTGAGACCTCCCTCTTCTGCTATAAATTGTCAATCTACCTCTCCCTGACCCTTCACAATCTACCCCTCAGTTATGGACTTATTATAAAGCAATTATATATTGCTGTGTAAGAAACCAATTTTGTAAATTTTTTCAAGATAATTATTTGAAAACCGGTTTATTTTAGTGTGAAAGAGCATGATGCTGTAATTTGTAGTTTACTTAGATTAGAAACTTGGTCTAGTGCAGTGGCTTTTAATTTGCCCACATTTTTTTTTTAATAAAAAAGACAACATTGTTATTAATTTCTTAATTTTTAAAAATTCATCAAGCCTATGGTACTTTTATATCCTTTTGAAGCAAGGCCCATATAACCAAATAACCCTTATTCACCTTGTGTTTGTTATGTGAAAGTGAATTTCGCATCTCATGTTACTATTGAGAGTTCCTTGTTCTTCCAAGTTTTCCCAGTCCCCCTAGGATGTTAGAGCTGCAGGAGGCCTTAACATCCTGTCCTGCTTGTCTGCTGCCCCTTCAACAGAGGAAGACACAGGCCCAGGGAGATCAGGGGACATGATGGATGGACACCATGATGTGATGGACACAGTGGATGTGGGGCTGAATCCTGGCACAGAGCTCCCTCCACACAGAGCCCCTCTCCCTGGCTGGGAATATTCCCTTTCCTTTGACCCCCTCCCCACTTTCTAAGCTGTCACCAAATCTTGTTACCATTTCCTTGAAATGCCTCTTGCTTTCCACCCTTCCCATGTCTTCCTGTCTCATCCAGTCCCTCAGCTCCTCACAATGGGAAAGGCTGAGTGCTTTATCTTTGGGGCATCCATCATACAAGATTTAATCTTCTCTAAATACCACTGTCAACCTGTCACTCCTCTGCTGTGAGTCTGCCAAGAGCTTCCTGCTTCCTGTAGCAGCAAATGCCATCACTTCTCTTACTCCAGCTCCTGATTTCACTGTATACGCTCAGCTTTATTCCTTTCTCCCCATGAAACCTAAAGACCCTAGGTCTTTTCTGGGTTTCTTCCATGGATCACCATGTTTCCTTTGTGACTTTAGTATGTCCTGCTCTCCAACTCCTAGTGTCCCCCTGCCTTGCCTTTCCAAATCCTCTCTTTCCAGCTGAATCCAGGTACCACCACCTTGTCATGGATAACCAGTCTGTGGTACATCCAGACTATGGAATATTCAGGTCAGTTGAGTTCAGTTGCTCAGTCATACCCGACTCTCTGCGACCCCATGAACCGCAGCATGCCAGGCCTCACCAACTCCTGGAGTTTACCCAAACTCATGTCCATTGAGTCAGTGATGCCATCCAACCATCAGTCAGTAAATACTCCTTGCTTATTAGGGACTCTCTGAGCTTTTAAAAAGTGTTGGCCAGAGCTACAGGCGGTTGAGACGTTTTACAGTGTTCACTGCTTGGATCCAGATCCATCGTTAATAGTGAGAGCAGCCCTCTCCTCCCTGCCCAGTGTGATGGAGCCAGCACTGCTGTGTTGCTGGTCTTCTGAGGGGCCTCGTGGTCTGGGTGTGGGGCTCACACTCAGAGTTGCTGATGTGGTGGTGGGTTAGTGGCGGAGAGGTGAGGGCTTGCACCCCCGGTTCTTGGGTCTTAGCGTAGGGAAGAGTCCCTCAAGCCTGGGGAGGAAGCACAGAATCCTGTGAGCTCTGGCAGATTCTCTGCACCCCAGCATGAAATGTCAGCTGGCCTGGTCCTCCTCCCACTGTGTGTCTTTGAGCCAGTAATGACCTTGGTGCTCTCTTTTCTACAATATTGGCAGAGTGTCCTAAGATTGAATCTAATCTTTTTCTGAACAACTTTCTCAGTACCCAGAAAATGGCTTCCCCAAAAGCGTGTTGTAGTAAGCTGCTGGCATTGGAAAAAGGAATGTGTCTTAAAGAAGACTGTGTCTGCATTCTGGATTTCAATGTCGCTTTTCCGTGCCTTCCTGCCTCTGCTGGTAGTCATTTCCAGACCGAGCAACTGCAGATTTTACCACACCTTGGACTACACTCTCCCCACGGCATAACCCCTACAAAAACGTCCTCCACTAAGGCTCATAAACTTGGAGCTGCTTTTTCTGTAATGTCAGCAAGACTCATTCCACCCATACAAGAACAGATTGGCCTTTTTCCTCTTTAAGAGACTTGGCAGAGACTCAGATAAAGGTGAAGTCAACAAATTCTGGCACGGTAGTGAGTTTAGCTGCTGGGCTTGTCAACCCCTTGTTCCTCTCATGTTCTGAATCCTTGTTCCATCCAGAAGGTTCTCTCTTCCTGTCTATGACAGGTAAAGATGTTTCAGATCCCGCCCCCAGTGTTAATGTCCCTGCCACAGATAGTAAGACACCACATCTCTTCATTTATAGAAAGATACCAAACTGGATTCACTTTAAGATTTGTTTTGCTCTCTTTTAATCCCTCTAGGTGGATGGAAGTCTGCTTAGTTGAAGAATTGCCGCCAACCACGGAGCTGGAAGAAGGACTCCGGAACGGAGTTTACCTTGCAAAGTTAGCCAAATTCTTTGCCCCCAAAATGGTATCAGAGAAAAAGATCTATGATGTGGAACAAACACGCTATAAGGTAACTGAGATCTAATTGGTTTTGGCCTCTGGTTCAAAGTGAAAGTTCAGTCTTTCCTCTTCTTTCCTTCCTTTTAGTGTTTATATCAGGATTTTGTGGAAGGTAGGGGTGTGGGGAAGGGGAAGGTCCTTGGTCTTTGAAGCCTGTTAATAATCATTCCTGAGGCAGCAGCAGTTTTAAAAGCAAAGCACTTTTCTGTTTCTGGGCTGAGGCTGAGAGACCTCTGATTTGTGGGGCTTCCAACTCCCAACCCCCATTATTCCTTCATGGAGGTCATGTTATTAGTACCAGTAAATATAAAAGTGGGGCCCTCTACCCCTCCTCTCTTCACCACCAACACGGTTTATTACTCCCCTTATTCTCATCAAGAAGTAAAGTACCCAGCGGAGACTTGAACTTGTAGCCCCTAAGAGTTAGAGCCAAGGTGATTAAAAAAGGAAAAAAGTACTAATATTGACTAGTCAGAAACTCCTTTCCATTTGATGTTTAAAACAAAATGAGACTAACCTTTTTGTGTGCAGCTAATTTTATGAATTATTTCATAGCTAATTTGAGAAGGAATATAGGGAGGAAAACCGAACCAATATAAACACCAACCTTAATCAAAATGAACAAATAAATACAATCAAAATAAACAACCAATCAGTATAAACACTGTATTATTACAAAAAAAAATGTGGGTATTTTATGGATATAATGTTTAAGTATTTTCAGGTAAGGTGATACATCTATGATTTGCTTCAGAATAATTGGGAAGAGGGTTGACAGAAATTCAAGACCAGACATGAGTTTGTAATTGTTGAGATTAGATTATGGGTGCAAATGAGTTCTTTATACTCTTCTGTCTACTTTTTTATGTTTGAAAATTTCCATTAAAAACTAAAGAAGGAAAAAGTAAGCACCAGCCTAAAAGACACCTTGATTATATGTGTCTTCAAAAAGGAATTTTTTAATGTGTGCTGTTCTCTTCTAAAATGTGAGATCTCTTCTCCACTTTGGGTCAGAGTTCCTAAAGCTTCTTTGAAACTTGATTTTTGTTTTGTTTTGTTTTCTCAATATCCTGTGTTTGGTTTTGTTACATCAGTATTTTTTTATCTGCAGATTTTCAAGTGTTTTAAAAAGTTATTTCTCTTAAAATTTCAAGGATAACATCAAGTATAATTGAAAATAGAATACTTTTCCATTTAATGCATGAGTCACACTACCCTTCAGTTGTTATTGAGACAAAATTTCTTTTTAAAATATGTATATTGAATTCAGAGCAAATGTCTGAGTAATGATTTAGGCTAACAGACAAGATGAATTGACATCTTTTTTGACAAGTCTCTTTTCATCATCTAATCTAAAAGGGAATGGAGCGAAAGTCTCTGCCTTGAATAATGTTATGAAAAATATGTTTGCATATGTTAAAATAAGTTTATTAAGTCATGTGTTTATTAACTCTGGATGTTTCTCCCTAGAGTGAGTTTCCAGCCTTTTGCAAGGCTTAAGCAAAACAAATGATTTAGCCAGCCAAAATTAAAGTTTCTTTTTTTAATTTTCAGGAATATCTTTAAAGTTCAGAAAAGAATTATTTGTATCCCCTGTGTCACAAAATAAATTATCATTTGTCCACATTTTAGAACATGATCTTTCTTTTATTTTCATTGCTTCTGTGATGGTTGATATCAAGACCTAGATCTATTATAATGGCCATATAGATTTGATGATAAAGTGTCAGGGGCTCCAGCCTTCCCTGGAAAGGGATTGTGGGTGTTTTGTTTTGATGTGTGGATTGGGAGAGTCAGGCCAGAAAGACAGACCTTCAGTGAAAGCGAACCTCAGAGCTGCAGGTGGGCTAATTCCCCTCCTGGCACATTATACACCTTGAATATAGGTATCTCTTGCCAGTTCAGCTCTGGACCCCTCATGGCAACTTAAACAGGTACCATTGCCTCCTGGCATCAGAGATCCTATTATTTGAATCCATAGCAACTTCTCTTTGGGATGGGGACAGGGAGAATATTTCCAATCTCTTGTTACAAAATAAAATATCTGGGGCACCTGGACATGTGCTGACATCCCTGAGCAAAGCACTGTGACAGAAGGAAGTGATCTGTGTTACTGTCCCCCATCCCATCAAGCCCCAACTGGGATGCACAGAAGAAAGGATCTTAGGAGAGGCGTGGAAAGAGGGGAGGTGGCAGATGGAGGGGAGTCGATGCCAGCTGTGACGTGGGAGAATCATGGGACAAAGGGAAACTACCCCCCTGCTAATTCACTGGAGAAAAGAGGCTTTTCTTTTTTTCTCCTTGTATTAAATCCCTGAACGTGTCCTTGAGTGGGAATTGTTGGTGATTTGCTGTGTCATCGTAAGTTTGTATTTTAAGGCTATTTTGTTTCTTCTGCAAAAATGAAAGGAGACAAATAATAGTGGGCAGGAGACAGCTTCCTGTTCATCTGTTTTTCGGATCTAAAGCCTGTCACATGGTCCTCTTCAAGGAGCCCTAAATCACAGGACGGCGGCAAAGACACAGAAACACAAGGGAACACTCGCTAACCTAGGCCTGTCTCCTGATGGGCCATCTGGAAACCATGAGCTCAGTGAGCCTGAACACTCTGCAGAGTCTTCTGGACTGTCGCCATAAAATACGACCCACCTGTTGGGCCGTGTGTCCCGAATCTGTCCAGAATCCCAGGGCCTCGGTTGTGGCACGCGTGGCTTTGAGCGAAGCAACGGGAGCGTTCACGCAGCCCTGCCCTCATTGTTCCCAGCGCGTTGTGTGCAGCCTCGGCCCCTCGTTAATTTAGGCTTAGAAAGTTATGCCAGGTGCTGACTTAAACCTTCCAGTGATGAGTGTTCTCTCCCCGACCATTTCCACCTCCCCCTTCAGGTCTGAGTTGCGTGATCATGCCATGCACACGTGGACACGCCGCACTGCGCTGTAGTAATTATTTTGTTCTGGAGGCAAGGACTCTGTGTGTCTCTTCTGCCGTGTCTGTGGTGAATGGTTCAGGTTCTGGCCCAAAGAGCTGTTGGGTAAAGGAATGAATGACGGTGGTTTCTTTTTTTATGTTTTAGAGATTGCTTTTTATGTGTGCCATTTAAAGTCTCTTATTGAATTTGTTAAAATATTGCTTCTGTTTTATGTTTTGGTTTTTTGGCCATGAGGTATATGGGATCTTACCTCCCCAGTCAGGGGTTGAACCCGCACCACCTGCATCGGAAGGCAAAGTCTTAACCATGAGAGTGCTAGGGAAGTCCCAACTAGTACTTTCTAGCAAGCCAGAGGGCTCCATTTCTTGTCTTCTATGCTTTATTCAATCCTTTATTCAGTACTTGCTGAAACTCCTCCTCTAAGTGTGATGCTCAGACTTCCAATGGTCCTCCACGATGGGTGTGTGTAAAAATGTGAACTTTTGGGCCCTCCCCCAGAATCTTAGCCAGGGCCCAGGAAGCTCCATTCCTAACTATCATCTCAGGTGATTCTTTTCTTACATACTACTAAGGTTTGAGAACCACTGCTCTAACAGGTGGATACATCAATATAATAAGGTTTAATAAAGTTGTAGGGGAAGAAGATAAAGCTGTACTAAGATAGAAATACACAAAGGGTAGAACTCATTTATCCTTGCAATCCTCATCCATACATACCAGGACCAGCCCAGGCGACCGATGACCGTTGCCTGGAGAGACAAGAACTAAGAGGATTCAAGAGGGGACATGAAGGGCGAATCCTGGAGAAGGACTGGAAATGGGTGGAGAGATGGAAGAGACGGCAGCGAGGTGGATGGGGGCAGGTACCTATGCAGAGTGTGGTCAGTTCTGAAGGGGTTTGGACCGTACAGATTCCAGAAGGGTTTCTGGGGTGGGGCTTCACAGAGGAAGGTGCCCAAGCCGACTAGGACGACCAAGAGAAAGAGGAGTGGAAGAAGAAGGGGGTACTCCTTGGAGAGAATTCCGTCTGCTAAGCCTCACAGCAGTGTCATTCTGGACAGTGCATTCAGAATTCAGTCTGATGAACCTCAAAGCAGTATCATTCTGGACAGTGCCTTGACAATTGTAGATTTATAACAAATGCTCATTGAACATTTAGGCGGGCCTTAGACAGGGAAAGCTTACATAGTGGTCAGTAGTATGAGCTGCAGAACCAAAACACTTCAGAATCTGGCTTCACCACTTGCTTTGACTCTGTGAGCTTCAGTTTCCTGAGATTAAAGTGGGAAAATACTAACAGAATCAACTTTGTAGAGAAATTGGGAGGAACAAATGTGGTCATCTATGCCAGGCGCTCGGCCCAGTGCCTGCCTGATAGAGGTAAGCACCCTGTAACTGTCACAGATGGTGTTTGTTCTGAGGCTCCGTAAGCAGTAAATTGACCAGAATATTTGGACTAGGGGGTCAGGGAATTCTGCAACCTAATCTTGACCCTGAGCTCAACAAGTTAGGTCAACTCGAATGTCTTAAATACTTGGGCCCTCAGGTTCTTCATATATAAAATGAGCAAATTAGAATAATTACTGGTTTCAAACTATCTCATAGTTCTAAATTGCCTTGATCCTAATATATAAGAAGTTACCATCCACAGAAGGCTTACATAATACCTCATCTATTCAATTAAACTGCAGTACTCTTGTCTGCTGGTGCTATAGTAGCTCAGCAATAGAAAATCAGCATGTCCTTTCTAGTCTAATACCTGAAAGAAGTTAGGCAGGTGGACCATACAACCCTTGACTAAGTATGACTGTAGATGTAGCACCTAGTCTAACATATTATTATTAGTGTGGGACTGGTGAAAAGACAAACTGTAAATGGTTATGATGGGCTAAGTTTATTTTGAGCCTCTTTAGAAGACCTTTTTTGTTCTAACTGAAGTAAATCTGTAGATTGAAGATGTTAATATAGTTCACTCACTGAAGCCTCCTTCTAAAATATACAGACATGGAGCACAGGCTTCTGAAGTCAGCATTCCTCAGGTGCTTAAAGTTGGATGAAGGATTTGAAACCTGTCACGTCATTTACTATGGAAATATGACCAAGATAACCACCCTTTCCTTCAGTGCCTCTTACATGAAGCGCTGAACTTTTTTTGACCTTAAAGGTGAATAAAGTTTCAAGCCCAGTCTCGTAGCATAATAATTACCATAACCAACATTTATTGCACTTAGGTGTACTTTGCAACTGAGTGTTCCATGTATAGTCTCAAGAAATTCCTCAACCCAAAGAAACATACCATTCCCATTTTGTGGCTGAGGAACCAAGGTTCAAGGAGACTTGGAACTTTCCTGAAGTTACATAGCTAATGAGACCACTAAATGGATGGGATGCTTTTATTGCATAATTTGGATTGTTCAAGGCTACCAACCAAAGATTCTCAGAAACCAAGCTAGGGCCAAACAAAACTGTATTTATTTAAACTCAGGGAAAAAAAGCCAAGAAAAAATGCATACCCATGGAGCTGTAAGAGGAAATAGGAGCTTAGTAGAGATTTGAGCTTGTACTGAGCTATTCTAATAAGGATTTAGGGAAGCAAGAACCAGTTATCTTTGGGATGTTCTTAGGAAAGTGAAAGTGAAGTCTTGCTCAGTTGTGTCCGACTCTTTGCAACCCCATGGACTGTAGCCCGCCAGGCTCCTCGGTCAATGGGATTCTCCAGGCAAGAATATTGGAGTGGGTTGCCATCTCCTTCTCCAGGGGATCTTCCAGACCCAGGGATCAAACCCAAGCCTTCTGCATTGGCAGGCAGATTCTTTACCACTGAGTCACCTAGGAAGCCCCAATGCCACTGTTATCCATTCAAAAAATGAATGAGGGCCAGGCCTGCTCCATAGTCAATTCTATACCAGATGCTAGTCTACAAACCCCCTGCTGTCTGGGTGAAGGCACAGTAAATAAGAGATCACTTTACAGTAATAAGTGTTAGTCACTTATCAAATATTTATCCAGAACCTATTATATGCCAGGTGCTCTGTTAGGTCACTAGGAATACAACAGTAACCTAAACAGACAAAAATATTTTAATGTGCTGTAATGTGCACAGGATGCCATGAAGGCTCAGATAAGAGGATCTAAATATACTAATAAACTAGGGGTCAAGGAAAGTTTTTCAGAGGAGGTGATACCTCAGCAGAGTTTGCAAAGATTAAAAAAAAAGATGCCAGATAAGGAAGGCATTCCAGGCGCATTATGAGAGGTGTGAAGCAGCAGGATATACTTGGGAAACTGGCAGGTTGGTATATAGCTACTGCTTATCCGAAAAACAGCAAAAGTCAAGCAGAGACTTCACTGGTGGTCCAGTGGCTAAGACTCTGCACTCTCAATGCAGGGAGCCCGAGTTCAATCCCTGGTCGGGGAACTAGATCCCACATNGTGAAAAATAATATATATAACATTATGGTATACATTTAACTAATGAAATATATAAGATTATTTTAAAGCTGTCAGCAGTATATACCTGATAAAACTTCATAAGAGAGCAACAAGAATATTTTATTTATAGACTGTGTATAAAATAATGGCTGGCTGATTAGAACTGTAAGAACGGGAAATAGAGCCTATTTTTACTATATGGGTAGAAAAAGGTCTTGTAAAATATTTCCGCTGAAAGTTTGCTTCTTGTACAAGGCCAAGGTTAGAATTAGATTATAGAAGGAATAAATACTAAAATTAGCTCTGAATCATGGAGTGTTTTTTTGTTTTCATCTTTGTATTTTTCTACAATTTCCAGTTTGGTTTTTTTTCTTTTATTATTATCTTTTTTTTTTTTTTTAACAGAAATCATATTATAGTTGTGATCTGGCAGAACCAGAAACCACACACACACAAAGACATCTAGTCTTGTAAAAATCCTTTTTTCCCTGAAGTTACTATTGCCCTCAACCATGGTTGCCGCAGTTCTGACATGGGGGGGTGGGCACACACATGTCACATGTCTCATAAAACATCCTTAGGCATGCGAGACAGCAAATGGCCTTTGGGAGTCTCGTTCAGAACTGCCTCAAACGTGTGCGTTCTGGGGACTGGCGTGGTCCGTCCCAGATGGCGGGAGTGTTGCCGAGCCTCGCCTCCTTTCGGGTCTCTGTGAGCGCTCACGGCACTGTTCTGGGAGGGATTCGACTGGAAGCGCCGTGCTAGAGGCGGCAGCGGTCACTTGCTCACCTCTGTCTCTGTGTCCCCTCTTCCCTGTTAGAAGTCGGGCCTTCATTTCCGGCACACGGACAACACGGTGCAGTGGCTGAGAGCCATGGAGGCCGTCGGGCTGCCCAAGGTAAGCTTGGCCGCGGAGGCGGGCACGGGCACCCCTCGTGGGAGGCGCCGCGCGGAAGCGGGCGTCGGCGCTGCAGATGTCCTCGCTGCCGGAGTGGGCAACGCGAGGACTAAACATACGGAAAAGCAGGCGTGAAGTAGCATACGGCGAGGCTTCGGGCTGGGAGCGGCGAAAAGTTAAACATGGTCAGCGCAGGCCTTGCCTGGTAGATAACTGACTTAGAAGCGCCATCTCCCTCTCTCGTATTGCTGTTTATACCTAAGATTCCAAGTCTCTTTGTATTGCTATATATTGTACCATTATAAAATCATCATTATAGATTTATTTTGATAAAGTAAATATTATTATAAATCATAGTATCACTTTAAAGTTTAATGGTTAACGAGTCAGAGCTCTTACTCCTGAATAGATCTCCCAAATAAAACTCATTCTGCAAATATTCAGAACTTGTTAAATTCAAAGAGCAGATACCCTTACACCTGTGAGACAGATTAGACAAGTAGAGGAAATGAGAAAATAATTACATGGGATAGAAATTGTAGAGCTATTTCTTAAACTTCTGATTTTGAAATAATTTTGGCATCACAGGAAGTTGCGAAAATAGTACATCTTTGTGTAAATTTCATTCAGGTTCCCCTCATGGTGACATCTCATAACTGTAGTACAGATTTAAATTGGCATTGGTGAATGAATGTTAACTAGACTCAGACTTTACTATTCAGTGTTCACCAGTGAACATTCATTTGTGTGTGTGTGTGTGCACGCGTGCACACACCCGTGGGTGTAGTTCAATCCATGAATAGACTTCTGTGACCACTAGCAGAATCAAGATACAGAAACTGCAGAAAGGTTGGCCTTTACATAACATCCCGTTTCCAGCGCTGTCTCCTGGCAGCCCACTAATCTGTTCTCATCTCTAGAGTTTTCTCATTTTGAGAATGTTATAGAAATGGAATCATGCTGTAGGTAACCTTTTGAGACTGACTTTTTCACTAAGCACAATGCCCTTGCCATCCATAAGGTTTCCATGTGTATCAGTAGTTCCCCTTTTTTAATTGCTTACTTAATAAGTCCAGCTATTTTAAAGAAATTATTTTAGAATGATCCGGCAAGGGGATAGGCTACTGACTTATTTAGGTCTGTGTTGTTTTTAGTATTAATCCAGCTTTGCAATTAAAAACACCCCCACAACAAAAACAAAGAATTCCTTAAGGTGAATTATGAATGCCTATTTTTTATACATTGTGCTAATACCTGTTTTAACTCAGTTCATTTTATCTCGCAATGGTCAATGTTGATCTTTTTTATTTTGCCATTTTTAATTAAACTACTTTCCCCTCTCCTAAAATGTTGAGAACATTGAATGCTGTTCCTTTCCGGGCAGTAGTTATCATACAGAATTCATATTCTAAATTGTGATTTAGTGAGTATTAGCAGGGTGTTGAGTGGTAACCAGATTAAAAAAGAAAGAAATTAAAATACTGTTTTTCTGTATGAGGCTGCATATGTTAGTTAGGATAATTTCATTATGTTTGAAAGATTTGATTTAAACCTTCTCAAGTTGTGTGTGTGTTGGCCACATTTATTTTGATTTTAAGCCAAACAAGCGATCCATGCAACAGATTCTATTTTAATCCTGATGTTTATTATGAAATCAGTGATGTATCACATTGCAGTAATGAGAAGCCAACAGTACACTGAATTGACTTAGATGTATTAATAAATTCCTTCATGTATCAATATGAGCTGCCTACTCTGTGCTCAGCTTCATGTTGCACACTGGGGTTACAGTGCTGAAGAAAATGTTTTGGTGAACTATAAATCAGTCCCATCTCCTTGATAAAGGAAGACATACCCATAATGATTTTCCAAGAGAAGCATCAGTATAAAAGTTTCTTTTTTAAAGAAGAGGGGGAGTTACAGTTGTCCTCTGCTTACACGGTAGAACTTTTAAACCTGGTCATGTTCTAGATTGGGAATCCTCTTCCCATTGATACTTTAGCAGCAAATGTATTAAAAAAAGTTAGAAAGACCTTTGAAATTTCATAGACTATAGATATTTCTTGAAGCACTCAGTGACTGTACATTTTATAGTTCAAGAAACTTTGCTTTTCTCTTTTCTTAGCTTTGTTCAGTGTCCAATAGAATGCTGTGCTAGAGTATCAAGTACTACCATACGGTACTCAATTTTAGTTTTTATGTCAAATTTTATAAAATATTTGCCGAAAGAAAGTAATGCCAATATGCTTCTCTTAACCTGAGGAGCTTCGATCCTAATTATTCATTTTTGGTGCCGTATTCTGAAATCTGTTTCTTATTAGGTTTTTATTTTCAAGCTCAAAAAGCGTATCAAGGTGCATTAAAAGTTTTAGTGTTCAGACTTTTCAATCTACTACCTCCATTCATAGATGATTATCCAAAAGAAGTAATCAGGTGCGCAGAAAAAGCGGGGATGTTTACTGTAGTGACTTATAATAGGGACAAAATTGGGGGAAAAAAATGTTCAACCATGGAGAACTGGTTAAATTATGGTTCAAAAATATGAAAGAATCCTGTGCATCTACTAGAAGCAGTGTTCTTATAGACTAATGAAGGGAATGGAAAACAATCATGCTCTATCAAGTGTTTTAAACAGGCTTATAATACTTGCAATTTGGTTTTCAAATACCCACATACACAAATGTTAAAAAAAAAAAGAGAGAGAGAGATACAGATAATAGACTGGAAGAAAATATACCAAAATGCTAATAGTGACAGTCTGGAGGTAGGTTTATAAGTGTTTTTCTTTATACTTTACTGTCCAGATTTTAATTCATAAAAATGGATATTTTTTTCTCCTTAAAGTAGTACATGGGTATGTGTGTGTATTGTATGTATATACATACATGTTTACAGAACTATGTCGCCAAGTTCTTAACAGTATAACAAAATAATTTCAAAAGGACACCCTTCTCAGGCCAGGTGACTTCTGGGCAGGCAAGAGAGTGACTCATGGGCTCAGGCCTTGTGGGGTGAAGCTGCCACCCAGCCCTGTGGACAAAGCCTTCTTGAAGTGGCTGACTGTGAATCTCCGTTGAGCCACTAGAAGGCGCTGTCAGGCCGGGACCAGATGCAGTGATTGGTCCACGTGGAAACAACATGAGGCACAACTGAGATTCCCCTTCATTTGAATAAACACAGAACTGCAAGGACAATCAAGATAGGGTCATTTGGGGAGTTAAAATAATTGTGAAAATCAGCACTTAATAAATACATCTTCCTCTTTTGTTTTCCAGATATTTTACCCAGAAACAACAGATGTCTATGACCGGAAAAACATACCGAGAATGATATATTGCATTCATGCACTGAGGTGGGGAAAAAAAATGCAATTAAAAATCTAGGAAATAAAATTTAAATAAAAGCACAGTTTCAACTTTGAAAGAGTTCTTCTCCCTCTTTTTAGAGAGAGCTCTTTTTAAAAATAATAATAATAATCTGAACTTTTATTTTTAAGATTGATTTCTAAATTTGCTGGTAAAAAATTAAGATAATTGTCATATAACAATACTTGAACTTGAAAAACATTTTTCCTTTTTTTTAATCCATTTCAAAATAGAAAACCAGAAAAATGAATGAAAGACCTCTGAGTATAATAAGGAGAAAATTTTTACAGAAATTTCTAGGAACCTAATAATAATGTGCTTTCATTATCTTGAGTTATACTACTTTATAAATATAGCTACTTTACAAACTACTTTACTACTACTTTACAAACACATCAAATGAGCAGCTTTAATGGTCATACATTTGATTGTGATATTCTTAAAATCATTAGTTTGGCTCAATTCTTAGCATAGATTAATAAACTTCACTATAAAAAAAATCTTTTGAACTTTTGTTCAGTAGAACTTGTACCATAAGGGTAAAGAAGAAACTAAAATTAGTCAAATCATGATACATTCATTTTTTAAAGCATTTGTTTGATATCTTAATATTTTTAAGGGCTTCCCTGGTGGCTCAAATGGTAAAGAATCTGCCTGCAATGTGGGAGACCCAGATTTGATCCCTAGGTTGGAAATTTTTTTAATGTTGAGATTCTACCAGTCACAGAGTATTTCTTACTTTATAAGAAATGTGATTTTTAGATGGTTGCAAAAATGATTCTAAAAATCCAATTTGTGGCTGTTGTCTTGAGTGCACACAGGTAGTGACTGAAAGACTTTGTGTCTGATTAAATTTCACATTTCTTTTAGAACATCTGCCTTGTGTTTATATCACTGAAAGTCATTTTCCTGGCAGAGTATTCAGCCTAGAGGTTTATATTAACTTCTTTCTGACTTTCTTCCTCTCCAAAGAAGATTTTTATAATATATATACACACACACATATAAATAAATAAATAAAATATATATTATATATAATTCATTGCAATAATGGATTACTAAAGGTTTTTGATTATGTCAAATAATTTGACTCCCCCACGACATCAGTACTTAATAAATTTCTTTGGAAGATGACAATTGCTTGAAATACAGACCAAATGTAGGTGTCTTTCCTACTATTTCTTTTTACTCTAGTAATTTAGAACAACTAGGAAAAAAAATGCTTCTCTGCCTTCCCCCCTCTTATGTAGCTAGTATATCATTGTTCTAGGTTTTCTAAAAGCTCTTGGTGCCCAAATGCTCATTTTGATGAATATTATCAAATGTGTTGCCCAGCATTCTTGGTCAGATGCTTTTCAGAGCCTAGAATCATCAATTAACACTTTGTGACCTGCTAAGCCAACCATTAGTTAATCATTATCATATCCATGCATCTGAAGGAAAAGTGTTAGTTGCCCAGTCGTGTCTGACTCTGTGACCCCATAGATGGTAGCCTGCCAGGCTCCTCTGTCCGTAGATTCTCCAGGCAAGAATCTTGGAGCGGGTTGCCATTCCCTTCTCCAGGGGATCTTCCTGACCCAGGGATCAAACCCACATCTCCTGCATTGCAGGCAGATTCTTTACTGTCTGAGCCACCACGGAAGCCCATGCATCAGGGTGCTAACCTCCCAATCTGTAGCCTGCTGTCTATAAGGTAACACTGATTTCCTGAAATGCACACCTGAGGTGTTAATGTAAGCAGCTTATAAAGAAATGGTGCGCTAGCTTCTTTTCTGGTGATGTCACTGTTGTACGAAGTTACAGAGAACTGCACGGAGGCTTACAAACGAGTGCCTGCCATAGTTTGAACAATGGCTTGAGCAACTTGGTAAACAAAAGGCAACTTCTTGCTCACGTGGCTAATTGCATGCAAATTTTTTCTCAAGTATTTAGACTGTCTTTCTCAGGTATTCAGTTACTCATCATGGAAGTCTCCATTAATGGAGCGGATTCCTGCCGAATGTTCTTCACCAGATCTGACCTTAAGTCGGAATTTTAAAAGCAGGATCTTGAAAAGCAATATTCAGTTAATAAACAGCATTCCCTGGGACACTCTCCTTCACTTTTCTCTGCTATAAACGCTGTATGAAAGTTAAAGTGTGGGTCCCTCAGTCGTGTCCAACTCCGCAACCTCATAGACTGTAGCCCGCCAGGCTCCTCTGTACATAGAATTCTCCAGGCAAGACTATTGGAGTAGGTTGCCATTTCCTTCTCCAGGGGATCTTCCCGATCCAGGGATCAAACCCAGGTCTCCTGCATTGCAGGCACATTCTTTACCCTCTGAGCCACCAGGGTGCTCCTTAATAGGGCATGGAGAAGTCTCAGGTGTATCTAGTTGTTTTCTATCAAAACCCTTTCCTGCCATGGTTTAGAATGCGGTCAGTTCCTCAAATGAGGCTGATATTCTGTTCTGTTGGGCCAGACTCTTTTGGAAGCTGGGTAGCAGCGCACTTTCATAAGGACAATGGGTTTGCCCTCACTGCATGATTAGAAGTGATGCTGAAAATGAACCGAGATGTCCTCAGCAGTTATATCCTAGCTGCAGATAGAGCAGCATCACTGGTATGAAGATTGTCATTTCCCGCCAGGGAATTAGGCAGGTTGGAAGTTCTATCATAGATCAGGAGCCAGGCAGAAAGATCCCCCAGGCGCGCAGCCTGGAGGCCTGACTGATCTGCAGAGTGCATCCCTGGCCCTGCCAACTTGTTTTCTCTCCTCTGTCTTCTTGATTTGGGTTTAACAGCCTCATTAAAACACCCTGGGTTCTTGCCCTGGCTTCCTGCTTGTGTCTACTTGTGCCTTTTCCTGCCTGCCTCGCCGCTTCACGGAATTTCTGACCCCGGCCCCCAGACCTCACTGTCTGTGTCAGTTCAACGGGGTGTTCTCAAGGCCAGACTCCAGGCGGTGTTAGCCAGGCAGCCCCACAGGGGGTCCAGAACCTCTGCGTCACGCAGACCCACCGAAGTAATGGGTGGCCTCATGTTCTTTTCAAAGAAATGTCTATTATCTTTTCCTTATTTGAAATAAAAACGTGTTCACTGTGGAAAACATTGGCAAATTTGAAACTGAGTCCCCCTAAACCAAGTTCCTCTGGCAGGCTGTTGGTTCACCTCTCTGTATAAAACTTTCTTTTCTTTCTTTTCCTATACCTGTTCCCCCTCAAGATTAAGGAGTCTCAAAGAAAGGGGAGGGGGGATTAAAGCCGAGCAGGGCAACTCATGCCTGAAAGCCACTGACAAGTTTGGGTCTTCTGAGCACAAGTCGCCCGTTTTCCTTGCTAGGCCCTGCCACAAACTTTTCTCTGCTCCAGGCGCTGACATTTCAGTACCAGATGACAATGACTGTTTGTAACTATTGCGTGTTTTCTTTGTGGCTTTATTTGGAATATTTAAAGCCTGCGCGATAAAAGGAGCCACCTCACGGAGTGAGACCCTTGCTAACAAGAGACTGATAGGTTTTTTTTTTCCGGTCTAAAGGCCTTCTAACCGTGGAGAAGAACGTTTTTTACCTGTTGTTTACTGTTCAATGTATTAAGCAACTGTTAGATGTTTAAACATGAGTTATGCAGTTGAATTCCTTTAAATAAATAAATTTAGTAGACTGCTTTTTTGAATACCTTTTTCAAGTAGACTGCTTTTTAAAATACAAATACCTTAAAACACAAGTAAATGCCCAGATACATTATTACAAACTTACTACACTTATTCTAAAAAATTCACACTGCAAGTTTCACTTGTAGTTTCGTTATTTAGCCACTGATTTTGATGCATTCTAAGGCTGTAAAACTTTGATACCTACCCAGAGTTCACATGGTCACTAGAAACAGAGTACCTCTTCAGTGGACCGCGTTACAGATCTGGTTTCTGACCAATCATTGCTGGTCAGAACATGGTATCAGTTTGGGTTCTTCTCCTAAGGTGAGTCCAACCTTGGCCGCCAGGAATCAGGCTGAACTTGGTTTGCAAAATCAACCAGCCCTTGTAGTATTTGGCTTTCAGGTCGGTTTTTATTTCCCATCCAGTCCCCACCCTCTGTCACTCAGAAGTTGTTTACTTTCATGTCTCGCTTGGCCAGTGCTCCATAACCCATTGTCCTGTCTTCATGATGTATTGGCCTGGTCTGTTAACACTGTTAAAAGTTAATATATGCCCTTCGAATATTTTCGCGAAGTTAGTTGGGCATTCTCAAGGTTTCTCCCCCAGGAGATGAGGGGTGGACTCTGCCTGATGCTCTTGGGGACCACTTGGCTGATAGCATCTCAGATCCTGCTTCTGGACCCGTCTCTGCTTGGCTATCGATGCAGCCGTCAGTACCGTACCCTCTTTTCGCCGGGCTGTTTCTGTCACCTTCTGTGCCCCTCGGTCTATTCTTATCTTGGGATATTCCCTTGGTTTTCTCGACTATTTGTCTTACTCAGAGTTCCTGGTCTTTATTTTTTCCTGTTGTATAAAGAGTACAAAAACAAGCACATATTGGTACACTATAGACAGACATAAGAAAAAACAAAGCATCTGTATTTTAACAACACTTCCTAGCTTGTTAAAATCCATATAAATATTATATGAGTCTTATCTCTGCATTACAAATTCCTTTCGGTCCACTTTATACCGGACTTCCCTGTTGGCTCAGGCAGTAGAGAATCTGCCTGCAATGCAGGAGGCCTGGGTTCGATCCCTGGGGCAGGAAGATCCCCTGGAGAAGGAAATGGCTATCAACTCCAGTATTCTTGCCTGGGAAATCCCATGGACTGAGGAGCCTCGAAGACTACAGTCCTTTGAGCATCGTTTTGAACTCCAGGCCTTTCTCTGATCTAAACAAGATTTGTTGTTGCTGTTCAGTTGCTCAGTCATGTCTGACTCTTTGCGACCCCACCGACTGCAGCACGCCTGCAGAACATCCATGTCCTTCACGATCTCCCGAAGTTTGCTCCAACTCCAGAGTCTTCTCC